GTGTTAGCAGATGCTTGTACGTTCTTGAACCTTTTGAAGAGAAATGAATCGATAGGATCGGGAAAGGATACGACGAATGCATTAATATATACAAAGGAGGTCATTACCGCCCATAACCTTGAACCACATGATAGATTAGGGCCAAGGTTCCAATGTTAAAAACCATGCCATATAATAAAAGGCTTCTTCTTCACTACCAAGAAAACTATATTAAGTAGCTGAGAGATGGATGAATGTGTAGATAAAACCTGCACCTGATTACAAGTTGAATCATGATGATGCATCTGATAGGTTGCACAAGTTCTCAAAAGAATGTCTTGATTTCAATGATAAGATCACCATGATGATCAACCCCGCTCTCTCTCTCTCTCTCTCTCTCTCTCTCTCTCTCTCTCTCTCTCTCTCTCTCTCTCTCTCTCTCTCTCTCTCCACTATAAAGGTCCTGCACAGTAAAACCCAGTGGACAAAGCCATGGTCTAAGCAGTGTAAGAGTGATTGTCAGGTAATGTGTTGGGGAGGTTGGAAATCCGATAAAGATGAGATGACATTAATTGATGCTGCCATTGCCATGCCATTGTCTTTTGGCATGTATCGATGAGAGAGAGAGAGAGAGAGAGAGAGTTGTGAAGCTGAAGCTGAGAAAGTAGGACGTTGGCACAGTTGTGAAGCTGAGGCTGAGAGAGCTGCCATTGCCATGCCATTCTGTTTTGGCATGTATCGATGGGCTGTGCTCGTGTAGCCATACTGTGCAAATGTCCTACTTTCTCAGCTTCAGCTTCAGCTTCAAATTTCTCTCACTCTCTCTCGGTGGGAACGTACAAGAGAGTTGAGAAGAGAGAGTAGCGAGGCAGAGCCATAAAAAGACGGTCTGTCTGCATTCAATGCCTGTTTTCTTCTTCTTCGCATTCAGCCACGTGTTCCTTCTTTTTCTTCTGGCCCTTTTCCTTTTCCTTTACATGTTAAGCCATATCTTCATCCAATCTTTCAATTTCATCCTCCGGTTCCTTCCTGCTCTAGCTCACTCGACTTTGTGTGATCGAAGTCTTTTGTCACATGAAGATACTATGAACTGCTTGATACTCTTCTTCGAGGAAAGAAAGAAGTTCCTAAAAGCTTTCGCCCACAAGAGTAATGGCGCGGTGAGGCGGGCAGGTCGACTCCTTACACTCGTTCACTCTCCGATTTCACCTAGTTATGAACACGACCGGAGTAACCTTGTCAAAGTTATCTCATGGCATCTACTCATCATGAATCGAGCGTCGGCTTTCGATTTCTTGCACTCGGAGAGGTTTTGCGAAACCCCGCCGACCAGTGCGGGTCGGGCTTTGATCACGTGAAAATAGAAATAAAGACTCTGCTCAATGTTCAAAACCCTTACAGTCATTTCACATAGCTCAGGCCCATGAGTTAAATGGGCGCAAAGCTTCTCTCTCTCCCTCTCTCTCTCTCTCTCTCTCTCTCTCTCTCTCCCTAATTTCTGGGAGATTTCTGAAACTTAATGTTGATGACTCGAGATTAGAACCAAGTGTGGCTAGCTTTAATGGCTCCATCATCGGTATGGTCATAATTTACGTTTTGATCTAGTCATGCTGGACCCGAAGCTTAGCAGTGTTGCAAATAATTAGCAACGATTTTCTAGGATTCAATTGAAAAGCTTTTCTTCACGAGCACAGGTAAGGAATGACGTGCAGAATCTTGCTACGATAATTAACTTATTCTGCAGGCTGAATACAATTAAAGATGCTTGCTTGCTAGGAAAAACTATTTTATCCGCAATGAAAAGTAAAATGAATTTCATTTCTAGCTAATCATAGGTAAAATGGAAAGATTTTGTTGATAGGATTTCGACTCTAGACAATTTTCAACTCGCGAACTAGAGTAAAGGTCACATATACATATCATCAATTGCATACAAATTGCACTGGATTGTAATTATCGACACGAGCTAAAGGCCTAGATCAATAGGATTCATAAGATATGTTGAGTGTTTCGTAGGCCTCCATGTTCCCAAGCCTCGGTGTTCGTGTCTTGGATTATAAAATGAAAATATGGGTTTCAAACTTAGTGGAATGGGGCCCATATATAATAAGACTGCGTTTGATCGTCTAGATTTCTAGTCAGGATAGGACTGAATATGATAACATATGAAATCCATTGCTATATCCTATCTATTGTTTGGTAAAGCACGAAAATAAAGTTGGATATTTTCACTTCTTACCATGTTCATTATTTGCAATGAACGTCATATCAGTGTAAATGAACCTAAAAATTACACAAACGGAGATGATAAAAATCTCTCACGACACCCTTACCTACGTCATTTTTATTTGCTTATTTTTTCTTATTTTTCCTCTCTTTTTTTAATTATTTTGTTTTTTATTTATTTTTTCCGCTTCCATCATCTCTAATAAAATTTTATTAAATAGTAAACTATACTAATATACCTAAAATATGTAATAAATATATATATTAGTATTGATTTATATATATGAAATTTATATCACAAGATATAATTTTTCTTTGAATATATAAATAAAAATGAGAATAAATAAAAACAAAATGATTGTTATTTTGAATTTTTTATATTAAAATTCAAATAATATTTTAATTTTATTAATTTAACAAGTTTGTTATTCGAGAAAATTAATTTTTATGTTATAGATATTAGAAATCTTATCCACCTTTATTCCACCTTCCCTATGCGATAATTTTATCCGGGGTATATCCCTTCTATATCTAACTTTATCCTATTTTGGGTAAATATCAAATATAGGATAGGATAGAATTTATTCTATCCTGAATTTTATCCTGATTACTAAACCTAGCGTAAGTGAGGAGTGATCGGAATTGTTTCCTGTTTCGTTTATGGCTTGTGGTTCCTATAAAATGCAGCAGTTGAAAGTTGACTCTTCTGAGATCATTATCTCGTGTCAGACAAACGATGAATTAATAAGGACAAGCTATAAACTAGGAAGAGTTGTTAACTCTGTGTAGGGTCGGCTTTTGACTAACTTTTGAAATCAGTTATGCCACCAACCCGAAGAAGCCCAACACAGACTAGAGGGGCAAAAGTCTCTCGGACAGCAGCTAAGTCAGTCTCTATGAAGCTGACTATGAGGAGAAATCATCTTCCTCGAGTTCCTCCTTTCTTCCTCATGGAAAGGGAAAGGGAAAGGGAATTCTGCGAGAGACTTGTCTGATTTTAAAAGTTCCGAGATTGGTGGCAAGAAGGTCGATAACATGATACGAATGCTAAGTGATGTAGGATGGTTTTGGGGTGGTTTGTAATTTGTATATACACTCTGCATAAACACATTGGAAGAGATAGGCATATTGGAATGGCCTCTGCAGATCGGGGGAATTCTCACTCACTACTGGATTTTTCTGTCGAATCAGTCATCACCGTCAAGGCCAAGAGTCACAGGACGCATATCTATATGCTAGACACTGTCGAATCGGCGAACCGTGCCTACTTTGGCAGTTGATGCGGTCATCCTTGCTGTTACAATTAACATCTCTAATAGTGGTTTTCTGTGCAGTTCATCCCAACACAGAATGAAAGAAGTACATCATTTACTTAATGCTGCTTTATCACGTTGCAATTATGTGGGCAGACGAAAAACTGAAGAGGAAGATTGTGAATCCAGCTGCATTTTCTCATCAATTTTGGCGATGACCCTTTCGCCGGTCCTCACCATAGCGTTCATTGATAGTATGGTGAAAGTATAGACCAAAAAATCGAGAATGCAACCAGGTTTTTGGATATAAAGTTGGGTCACCGTAATCTTTTTCTCTGAGTATGGTCAGAGACTCAGAGGTCGAAATTGGGGTAACTTACAATAGATAATAGTCATTCCTTGAGGGTTCTTGTAAGCTCAACAAGACAGATAATCGGAAGAACTAAGCGAGCACAAGGTTTCGGTCTAATCCTGCTTCAGAACACCATTTCAGGCGGCTCATTACCAAGGACAATGTCAAAGTGAAAGATAAAAAGAATTCAAAATTGATTGGAACGCACATTTCTCATCACTTCTACGAAAGCTTTCCATTCCTTCTTGCATTTCATTCATTGGGAGCCGCTAAATAAGTTGATATTAAGGAAGCAGACAATGGGTGAGATTTTGGACCGCGTCAGACTAGTTTTTCTGTTCTCAACTACGACCGCAGATTAGCTTTTAGTTTCCTGATCGAGACACCGACTGTAGTGTTGTGATTCTCTTGTTTTCGTTTGCTAATCTTTGGTAAATGAAGCATCCTTTCAAGTTGCGTGATTTAAGAGCTTTGATTCTCTAGCTTGCTAGTGGGGAACAAGGAGATCAAGCCACGCCTTATCAATGTCCACAAGTTCATTTTCTGTCTTTTTGTTAATGTTTATGTAGTGTCCTCACACCTACAACAATACATGTGGAAGAATATATGTACTATTATAAGAGCACTAATACTACTATGTCTGGTTAATGGTTGGATCATCCGACATCTTTTCCTCGAAACCAGCCCAAGAAACAGAGGACCAGACAAACTGTCTCCGAGTGTAGAAACAGCACAAAGGCATGTGGAAGAGAGGATGTACAATCTATCCTGCCTGAACTTCCTGAGTCCATGCCATGCTCTAATGACATGGTCAGCCCTCTATTTGGAGATCATCTTTTCTAGTCATGCATAATTTTTCCTAATGAATCGCGAAGCCCTGCATAGAGGGTTTCCTAAATAGGGTTGTACATGTGTGAACATTCCGACAATAAGGAGCATCATCGTGACCATAAAGAAAGGAGGTTATGGATCTCTTTCGATCTCTTGTGCCAGTTCCTTTGGCAGGACAACATGCATAGATCAGAAAGACGATTCATTTGTTCTATTCCATCTGAAAATTGCATCTAGCAACTCCGAGGAAACTTCCGAGTTGACACTGACCACATTATGCTATAGCAATCTCCATTACAATTAGGAATTGATCATGACATCAGTAAATCTTCTTGTCAGAAAACTCAGAAAAGCCTTGATTTAGATACACAACATGATATCTTACTCAACAACAGAAAAACAGATTCACAAATTGGCTATGTATCTAAGTGTAAGAAAAGATAGACCTATACAGTGAGCTCCCAAGAAATCATTTAACTGAAAGACCAAATCAGAAGAAAATTTGAAGAACTTTACACACCAGAAGGAACCTCAGTGGATCCACAATGCCGTAGAGCTTATTACTCCTCATCGCTCATTTGCTAAGCTTCACTTGCAATGACCAAGATTTACAGTTGTTTTTCTTGCTGACATCTGTATTGCCAGGAAGTCAAGCTCTCAAAGGATTGTGGCCCTGTCATATCAACCAACTCAACCAAACATCTTTTCATCTTGTTAGGCCAGCATCCAGAGGGAGCGCATTATGATTCCCTGTTTCCCACATTGCGGAACCCCAATGACAAGGCTTCGCATTATCGCCCAGATAGGTACACCTTGCACTGCACAATCGTCTTCCCGATTTTAAAGCCTGGAACCACAGTGAATCCAACTCTTGGCTTAACATTACATGGCGCAGGACATCTCTTCGTGACATCTTCCATGTACACGAGACTATATTCCACGCCCCTCTCCACTTGGAAGATTTCAACTGCTGGATCAAACGAAAAGGCCAACTTATGCAGTGTCCATACAGAACTCGCCATCTCGACAAATGATTTGTAAAATACGCTCAAAGACTTCCATGAACTCAAAACAGCTTCATTGCCATCCAGAGTACTGAAGACTGAAGATTCCATGGATGGATGGATAAGTTCTTGATACTTCTTTTCACAGAATCTAGCAAACTCGCTATCTGGGTCTATGCTTATCACCTCCATCGGGTTACTCGACACATGCTCGAGCAATTTCTTCATAGAGCTAGTACCGCTCGACACATGGCCATTACTCAAAACTCCATGATCGTCACCAAAATAGAAACTTTCTGAATCAAAACCTCGAAACATTACCAAACAAACGTACGACAAAAACGCATAGCAGTTGTGACCCTTCTTCTCATACTCAACATCCCCATACAGCGAATTAGCCGCCAGATTCAGATTCCAACCAGCCTTCCTCATCAAACCAATCAAGATCTTAGTAAATCTATGTGTAGCTCTACAGGCATCGCGCAAAACAGAATCAAACACGGCGATACACAGCGACACCTCACAAGATGAACTCAACCTGTCCGATAACCTCTTCGACAGCTTCAAATTGCGCTTCTGAATCTCGCCCAACTGATTCCTCAAGCTGTGCACTTCGTTATGCTTCCGGTCGATCTCCGACTGCAACCTGTTCGATATCGTCCCGAGAATCCTCAGCTTGCTCTGATTCTCTTGCACCTGAGCTTCCAAGCTCGACACGTCCGGTAAATCATCGACCAAATCGGAGTTCCTACGCAATTCCGCGTAAAAACGCTTGATGTCGGACAATCTCTGGAGATGAGAAACAAGCGCTTTATCGGCAGCCTTCACGCTGTCCTCGACGAACGGCACCTGCGCAGTTTGCAACTGCACGTACGAAGCTTCGAAGGAAGAAACAGTCCCGAACACCGAAGAAATCAGAGTATCGATCGTCCTCGGATCAACGGCTCTTCTCCGAGCCACCTCGCTCGATTTACCAATTCCTCTCGACTCCACGACCGGCAGCTCTCGCGAATTCCAGGAGACATCGCGATTTTGCCCTAATCCCACCGCTTCCGGCTCCTTCCCCACTCCGCTCCCCGGCGCCTTCGCCAATCGCGCCGGCTCCGGCGACAAGCCGCAAGCCCGCTCGAGCTCCCGGCCTAGGGTTTCCGCCGCCGCCGGGCGGGGAGCGGCGGCGGCTCCGCAGCGATCGGGCTTGATGACGACGACCCGCTGGCCGGTGATGACCTCCTCGGCGGAGTCGAGCAGGGAGGCGAACCCGCCGGACGAGTCCTCCCCACCGGCGGCGGGGCCCCCCGCCGGCGCCGCCGCCGGCGCCGCCTCCCCCCGGCCGTCCTCGTCGGCGAAGAACTCGAAGGTCTTGGCCTTGAAGGCGAGGGCGAACTTCTGGAACATGTCGGAGATCTGCGGCGGCTTGGGGGGAGCGGCGGCGGCGCCGTTCACGTCCGGCATCGTGGTCGTCGTCGTCGTCGTCGTCGTCGTCGCCGCCGCCGTTGATCGAAGAACATGAAAGAGAGAGAGACAGCAAAAATGGAGGGTGCTCCGGCGGCCAACTCTGCAGAGAGTGATGGCGTTAAAAAAGCGAGCTTTGAGGTTGGCTTTGATGGCGGTGTGTAGTAATGTTGTCTTGGAAGGAAAGGCAAAAAAAGGCAAAAGAAGGGAAAAGGATGGTGTGAGCTCCGGGTTAGGGATGACTCCACTTTCACTTTTGGTATATTATACACTAAATAATAACTTTTCCATATTTTATCTTATGCTTAGATTTAATTCGTTTTTTGATTATGATTATCCAAACATTATGATGCCGTATTTCTCACGTAGGTCTTGCCAATAACTTGTGCCGGTTCGACCAAAACGCCCTCTGCTTATCAAATAGATTTTAAAAAAAATTCTAAACCATGCCCTGCCGCGACATCGGTTCATCGGATTTTTCCATGCCTCCGACCGATACCCCGAACTTGTACCGGTACGAAATGAATTTGGGGTATTTTCGTCACGCCGGTACGGTTTGGGCATCCACGTCACGGTAAAACATAATTTGGAGCGCGGTAATTTTACACGCGTCGTGTCATTAGAATGTTTAAGTTTGTAGCACGTTATAAGTAAAATATAAATAAGACCTGTCAAAATGGGTCATGGGTCAATTTCCTAACTCATACTTAATAGGCTTGGTTGTCATATGGATTATTTATATTCGGTAATTGGGTTATAAATGGATTTAGAATGGTAAGGCTCAAAATAATATGACGTTAAATGGGTCCACAATTTACTTATATCCAAACCCACCTCTCTTCACCATCTCTTGCCCTCACTCGATCTCACACTCACTCGTATGAATTTTTCTAAATTTGGTCAAATATAAGAATATTTTAGTGATATTCTTATATGAGTCGGGTCAAGGTCATTAAGATTTGTATTAAAACGGGTTAAATGAATCGATTTGAATCACGTCATTTTGTACCCAATTCGATCCACCCATTTCACAGGTCTCTACAAAATCGATGCATGAAGATTTTTTTTTGCGAGTGAAAAAGACAGCAACGCCCAACCGACACGTAACGAGAAGAAGGGTCTTCTTGGATTCACGAGTGTTGGAAATTCTCCTTTTGTTTTTTGCGTTCGTGATTAACGGTAACACAAGCCAGGCTGTCCAGTCTAGTTGCTGACTGCTGTCCATTTCATGGGAGGACCGATTAGCAAATTCGGTGGATATTATTGTGGGGAAAAAAATTAGAAGATCAAAAACTCTTTATTAAATTTTTTTTTTCCTTTTTTTTAAAGGAGTTCGGTAAACCGGAAGAAGTTGACTTCGGGTCCAATGTCCTTTTCGGACAGATATGTCCCCCTCCCCTTTTTTCGCACTTCTTTGTCTTGCTAAATTTATATTCGATTTTTCTTTTTTTAACCATATGATTATAGAGTTGACCATATGTTCTCTCCCCCAAATGAACCTCCTCACTCTTTTTGTCATTTTTCTCTCAAGTTGGCAGTTGAATTCGGCATGAAAGATTGAGTTTGGATGAATTTTGGGGCGCCCGCGATGTGATATATTTTGATATTCTAATATGAAAAAAAAGGCATCGAGCGGAATACAATGAAAATTATCACATTACACAAATCTCTGACCATAAGACTTATAAGCATCACATGACATAGAGCCTGAGAAATTTGAGATTTTTAACAGTCCTAGAGTAGGTAGTTGCAAAGAAAAGTGTTAGATTGTTCATTAATTTTGCAATTTAAGATTAATTTACACCGTCGAACGTGGTACTGTTTCCATAGATAGCTCGGTGGGTTTGAATTATGAGTCACCCCACTACGTAATCGGACCTCATCCATGCCAACGTGTGAAATCAGTTGGGGGAGCAGTTAAACCGTCCAAGTCGATTCGAGCCATGGGACCGAGATAGACTTGGGAAATAAAGTTGATTCCTATTTATAAGCTAACTTTTGAACCAATACGGTCCCTCTCGAGAAAGTACAACTTTGAAGGTTTGCACTTTTAGAGGAGAGCGAAACCATAACCCATCCATTGACCATTGGAGCCTTTGGTAGGTGTCAAAAATTTTCTCAAAGTCTTAAAAAGAAATAATTATTCTTTATAAGATATAACTAGGAATTCGATCCACCCGAACCATATTTACCTCTGGCTAAAACACTTTCCGAATAGAATTCGCATGGGGAAAAGGTTTGAGTTATGTCCAATTAATTCTTGTATGCGACTTAGTGTGAGAGAGTTGATGGTAATGCACGCCGAACAATGATTAAATTACGAATAAATTTTGGTTCACGATGCTTTATGAGTGCTTTCAAAGAATCTTCAAAATTAATAGTAAAGGAGAGGAAAAAAAAACAGAAGCCGAAATTCTTGCTTCTAAATAAAAGAAAAGAATAACTATTTCAAGACTTTAGTAATTGCTAGGGTCGAGTACAAATTTAGTTTTTTTAAGTCTCGGCATTCGTGCGAGTTATTTCTCTAACTTTTGTTTTGTTCAATCTAACCTGCCAACTTCACGGATTTGTGAGACTTCTATCTTCTCAAGTTTTATTTTGCGTGATCAAATCTTTCAATCAACGACTCTAACTGAATCATCAAATTAACGAATGACGCAACATTGCTAATGTGATAAGAACGAACACGTAATGCTAATTTTATGCCGAATGAGTGAAAACAAACGGGAAAAGCAAGGAAAAAAGAAATCCTAACTTGCTAGTATTAATTGTAGCGAGTGATTAAGTAGGTGATTGCTTGGATCAAGAAGGTTGGAAAATTCGATTGCGCATAAATAAAACTTAGCGGATCAAATTGTAAGAATCTTTAAAAAAAATAAAAATCAGAGGATCAAAATCTGTACTTTTTAACCCTTATAAATTCTAAAACATCGAGCTGAGAATCTCCCGGATCACCGGAAGGAAATAGAGTGTCTTCTGATACTCTCCTATCACCTTCCTGAGAGATCTGCAGACGGGGGCAGGCCCAAGCTTTGAGGCCCATTAACTCGTACATGGGCCTCATACTTGGGCCTCGTACATGGGCCTCGTTCATGGGCCCGGCCCGTCTTCGTTCCTCTCCGCGCCTCCCCCCAAAATCCGAAGCACCCAAAGGAAAGGAATCATCCCCCATCGTCGTCGTCCACGGTCCGAAGCTCGCCGCAAGCCTCCTCGTCTCCTCCGCGACTCGCGAGCCCTAACCGCCGCCGCCGTCTCCCTCTCCGCCAGCTCGATCGAAGTTCCGAAGAAGCCTCGGCCTCTGCTCGGTGAGTGTGTGGTGTGTGCGTGAGCATTTTTGCATGTCTTGCTCCTCGGCCGTTCTTCTCGGCCGAGCTTTCGGTCGCGCGCGAATCTGACCGCCGGATTCGGCGCCGCTTGATTTCGCAGCTCCTTCTGGCGTCGCCGATGGCTCGCGGGATCTGATCGGGCGCTTTCCCCCTTCTCGATCGTTCTCCTTGGAAGAAACCAGGTCACTCTCTATTCTTCAGACGAACGGAATTGATTGATTTGCTGCAATCGAGCTATACGGTACGTTAGATGGAACATCCATGGAAGTGACGAGCGCGAGAGTTGAAAGAGAGAGAGAGAGAGCCGAAGTTTTGTTGATGATAGACTGTCGATTGATTGAGAGTGAGCGCTTTACATCCAAACCTAACTAAGGGATGCGCTTGGTTCCGGCAAATGAACCGAGGAATGCAGCTCCAGTTTCCATTGTGTTTGCGCGTGCGGCTTAAAGCTTGAAATCGTGTGGAAGAATAATTGCAAAATTCAGAATTAAGGAACGATGCGATCGTTGTCCAAATTGTCTTTACACTCGGATAACGGACGATATGCTTGCCGGTGGTTTGTTTGTGTTTTTTTTTTTTTGTTGGTGATAGAGGGCCAAGGGCAGGATTACTGCGCTCGCAAGTATTGAGAGAGGCTATTTCTCTTTTCGATACAAACAGTAATTAGCATGCGACTATCGATAAACCCAGTGAGCATACAGAAGGTTAGCTGGACAGAATAATGCAATGAACATGTTCTTCAGCAATAGCAAGTGCTGTCATTCGTAGCATCCCGTGAGTTATACATGGAAGGGATTGGGTTGGAACCATGGAGTACGGATATGAAGTTTTGTGGCTTGCTTGTGGTTATCTACACTTGGGATTGTTGTGAATTTTTGGGGCGCATTTAGATAGGCTTCTACTTTTTGCATTTTGCTTAATTCAAAACTTGGGACGGACACATATTGACTTTTGCTTAGCCCATAACACCTGAAACTTTCCCAATATCTAAATTTTGACACGTAAATTTATATGAACTTTTTTCATGATTTTCTGAGATTCGAATAGCATTTTAAACTCTGGCGGGAAAGCAAAAAGTCGTTTTTTGCTTTCATTGAAGCATACACAAACATGCCCTTAATCTGACGAAGAGGATAGCTTCATTATACCTGTCCTTTCATTGAGAAATGGTAGTCATTCCATCATGAAGATGTTGAATTTTGCTTTTATAATGCTGAATTTGATTCGTTTGCTGTGCAACAAAGTTTTTTCAAGATCTGGATTGATCTTGGTACTGTTGTCAATGGTAACTTCGAGGCTTACTCGCGTAGATAAGTTAAATAAACATCATGATGTTTTCATGATGCAGATAATTGGATCATATGAGTTGCTTGTGGCCAAAATACTAGTGTTATTGTGGAGTTTTGGTGAAAAGTTACCGTTCGCATATATCCCTAAGTCCAATAGAATTCCTAACAGAATTAGGATTTTTCTTCTAGTTGAAATATTAGTTTGATCTTATCTATCGGTATTTGAGCTCCATCAGAGTTTGAATAAGTTCCATCTTTCCATTTGGAGCAGAATGTGATGTTTCATATTCTAATTGGAATTTGTATTTATGTGTCTCACTAGCCTTCCTAGCTCAACTAAGAAACAATAAGTGTGATGCATTGAAAGCTCAGATGTGAAGTATAGAGGAATGTACTCTTCTCAAGTTAAACTTCTCGGCAAGCTCCTCTACTGCTTGGCATCTCAGGCTTCCTAAGTTTCTTATTTGGAGTTTCTTAAGGCCTTACCTTGAGAAAAGAATTGTTCTTTAGATTTGGTAAGGGCTTTTGAAAAGGAGGGTGGAATGGGGGTGATGGGAAGTGGGTGTAGAAAATTCAAAATTTATGTGAGGAAGTGAGGAAGGAAAATTTGAAAATTTTCTTCCCTCCTAATCCCCTCCCCCCTCTCCCAAACATTAGCCTAAAAGTGAATAGCGTGGTTAACTTAATCGTCTATCTTCCTCGTAATTCCTGAACATGTATATGTAGAATACTAAACTCGCATCCAGTTCAGATAGGAAGGCTAAATAGGAAATATAAAACAGTACTTCTAATGGAAAATGGGAAGATAATCAGTTCTACAATGAATTAGTTGACGATCATCTACAATAGGAAACACGAATTCTATTTCAAATAGAAAGAGGAAACTTAATTTTTATCCTAATAGAACTCAAGTTCTACTGGATAAGAATGCAACTCCTACTTAGGAGAAGAATACTAATCGTATTAGGACTGTTCGTTGAGTTATGGATGGATGAAATGGTCCATCTTCACCAAATGAGGGCAGGGGCATTAGTTTCAGCCCTTGAATTTGATCTTTTAGATTGCATCGTTTTCTTTCTGAGGAAACATAATATGGTGACTTTCATTTCTTGCTTTTAGCTTATTTCTGTGTCAATGCCCAACTTTTTATCGGGGCATGATACTGTTTCTCCAGTATTTTGATGCTAACCAGTTGTCCATTTGTTTAATATAAGATAGAAAATGAAATTCAAATGGGCGTAAAGATAATTTTTGCTTTGTTTTTGTTGTTCATAAAATGCTTAATTAAATGCATCTTGAAATGCAAGGTCCTGATTCTCAAGAGATTGAAGAGAATTCAGTGACATGATTTATGGTTTTATACTGGATTTTTCTTCATCACATCTTCTTCATTCTATTATTGTTACTTTTTTTTTCCCTATTACAAGCTATGAGTCCATGCCTTCTTGTGTCCCCTTTTCTACCAAAGGAGATATGTTTGTTTTTTCACACTAATCGGATTCAGTTAGAAAAATTGGGCTTGCAGAATGTTACTTTCTCTTGCTTGAGGCCAGTCAATGATCTTATGTTCCTGTTTTTATCTATTCATCCTATACGAGCAAATATGTGGCTAGATAGTGCTGATAGATTTACTGCTGTCGAGTTTACCTTTTTGGTTGTGTGATGTGAGGGTTGTGGAGAGAGAGAGAGGGAGAGAGAGCGAGCTTAGTTTGCAGGAAGCGATGCACTCAGGTGCCTGGTTATGTCTTTTGGTTGGGGCTATTGTGTTACTCAGTGTTTGTAGCTAGCTTCAGATGGAGATGGGTAACATTTATCATCTTCTATTTTATTGAAGATTGTATTTAGATTTTGAAGCAATGTAAGCTGCATGTTCCACAGAGTCATGTTAGCTTTTAGCAGCCTCGCAGTAGCCTATAAACCAATTGGCAACTCTAATCTGAGTTATTATGGGAATGTGCGATGTGTTGAGTAACAAGAGGTCCTTTAATCGATTGGCAAAAGGGAGAGGACGAGATTTTCTGCGTTATTCAATGACGATTGATCTCTATCCTGGCAAATTAAGATATTTCCTGGAAAGACATATCTCTTATCTGGCTGACGCTTTTCCTTTTTTGGTAATATTACAAGTTTACTTTTGAAGTATGCTTGCTTGGCCTAAGTATCAAAATATTGTCTGTCGAGACTGTTTAGATCCTTTAGAATTCCCTTGTTTTTGCTTAAAGTGATCTTTATGCTTATTGGTTATAAATTTGTATGAACGACTGAAAAGTGGCTGCTGTGGCCACTCTTCTTGTCGGTATGATTTTGGATCTCCAATGAGCTGTTGTTTCCTGATTAATTTCAAAGAGCCCATGACATTTAATATTCAGGGTAAAGACCACCATTTGAACGAGTTCTTTGATTCTCTTCCTTGCAGGTGTTGCAGTACTATGGGGGATTTTACCGTTCAAATAAGCAATGAACTTGTAGATCGACTTCTTGACAATGATGAGAAGTCGAAAAGAAAAACAAGAAAAATAAAACCAAGGTTATCAAAAGAGCCTCAACATCCACAGAGTAAGGTGAATCAGAAGCAGCCGCCTAATGATTCTACTGGATTGCCAATTCATCCTCCATTTTTCCTGCCTGTTAGCCCTCCTGCACATTCTGCAAAGTCGGAGTTGGATGCTATTCGATCGGTTCTTAAAGAGAGCGAGAGCGCCGTCGAGAGGCTGCAGAAGCAGGAAGAGAACGTGCTCCGCGAGGTAACTGAAAGAGCCAAGGAGCTTCGCGATAAGGAGTTCAAGCTTCCGTACCAGAAGCCAATGCCGTGTTTGGCTGAGAACAATGCTTGCTTGGAGTGCTACAAGGAGCATGCTAAAGACCCTTTGAAATGTGCTCATCTCGTAAGAAGTTTCGCGGACTGTGCTCGAAGAGCGAGGCAGCAAGTGAGTACTGCGGATAAGTAGACATAACTACACAACCAATCCCGGGTCTGTGACCCATTGTTTGTTCTACTGAGTCTCTTTTCTCAGCAGCGGGTAATAAAGAACAGTTAATTCTCTTCACAGGGTATCCTGTGCTGATATTCCGCAGTTAGATATTTTGCTTCCTCATTTTGGGTCACTATTGAATTGTTTGTCAATGTCGGTCGACATGGCTTCACTACGAGACTTGTGAAAATACCTCTCAGTTCACCAGCTGATACCAGATATTTTTGCCCTCTGGATATCAAGTGCAACTCTTCTTGTAGTGTTCCTGCATCACCGGTATGCAATTCTAGTATGATCCCCTTCCCTTGGATAATGCGTAGTTGTCATATGCAGATATGATTTGGCAAACGCTATAAAAAAAATTCACGAATGGTGAATTGGAACAGGTGGTACGATTTCAGAAAGTGCTTACTATTAGAATTAAGTAGTTCCATACATACCCATTTGATGAAGATATTTGAACTTTCTTTTGCTACCATTCGAAGAATGGTACCTTGATTGCTTGTTTTGTTTGTTTTTTTGGTCAAATCTTGTTTTGTTTGTTGACTGCTACTTTTCGCACATCAAGTGAATGTATATATAAAACGGAAAATCTATTAAATCGAAAAGTCGCGAGATTTAAGCGCAGGACACTGATGAAACTATATCAGAAGGAAAAAAAGATAAAAAATCCAAAAAAAAAATAATTCCGATCAAATTAAACATTATGTTGACAGTATAAGAAAACATGGTCGTCCCACTAATGAGCTTCAAAAGACATGAATTCTACGGGCGATATACTATCCTCAGTAAAAATATTGGCTCAATACACCACTTATAAAACACCAAAACAATACAAATAAAAATAAAATTGACTAACATTTGTTATAAGCTGGAACTTTACTATACTGAAGCGGAAATGCTTAAAGAAAGTATTCGACCAATGAAATGAGCTTGAACTGTTGCGAAATTTACGAACATGCTACTAAAGACATTATACTAACTATGATAAAAATATAAAGTCAAATGTTGACTCTTATCATCAAATTATAACTCGAATAAAATAACTGCTTAGGCGGATATGCTTCTGAAGAAAGTGAGTTCGTCCTATCAAATGGGCTCGAAAAGCCGTGAAATTTAGACAAAATCCTAGAGACGTCACACTAAATAAGATAAAAATATTGGGTCAAATATAAATCGTTATCAATAGATAAAAAGCATGAACAATTTCATTATAACTTAAAACAAACGTGTACATAACATGGCAATAAGGTAAGGTTGACCAAATACAGAAGATGTTTATGATAACACTCTCTTTTCCTCACATGGAAAGAATTTATTACAAATGACATGCAACGAAAGACACCCTAATATAGAATGATTGGAGGAGCTCCAAAAATCCAACTAAACTTCGGAAAACAGCATATCGTTGAACAGCTCAATAATCTTTTGAAAACGACTTGGATCTCGTACGAGCAAACATGCCAAAGCAAACACTAGTAAGGATATATTGATGATCAGCCACAGGATCAGAGACAAGCTCGACCAGAGAAGCAACTCGGAACCGAGAGTCCCGAAAACGATATACAAGTATCGGTATATTGATTTCGGGCTTGCGGGTCCGGTCACTTTGATCAATGCTATGAAATAGATAACTTCGCAAATGATGTAAAATTGCAGAACCTTGTAGTTCAAGATCCCGGTATGCTGCGAATTGAAATGCACAATGACGAGCAACTTGAAGGAGGTGAATACAATGTGGAATCTCTTGATTGAGTCAAAACTTTCGTGTAGTTGTTGCTGCTCCTGTGGTTGTTCGTCGTCCCTGTATCAAATCATGGAAGAAATTTATTAGAAAAGAAAGAAAAACGGATTCAAAAGAAAAATAAATAATAAGCTACTGTTGAAGCATATTCACATGACTGTATTACATACCTTTCAAGTGTAACCGCATGATCCGCCATGTTCTGGAGATGCAGTAGCCCAGTGAACTCTGCGATTGTTTTTGAGTTCTGTGAATTAGTGGAAGAGGCACTTTGGTTGCAGGGGATATGGGATACATATATATTAAGCACATGCCGGGGCAACAAAGGAATTTCGCATTGCGTTTCCGTAGAAATTCCAGGAGGTCGAACCACCACATTGCCATTATTTCGTTTCCGCATTTCGAAAAATTCCAGGAGGTGGTACCACCCCAATCCTTAACCCCTTTCTTGATTAAGGATGTTTTACCACATTACTAGGAAAATTGTTAGGGCAAAAGTTTATTCTGAATAATAATGATATTGTCAAATTGTATTCCCCTAGTCCATAGATTAGACTCTGATGAGTCGATAGGCATCATCACCAGCCCAATATTGGAAAAGCATCTTTATTTATGTCCCACCTAATTTAAGTAATTATCATAGTAATAACCTTTGAGGCAGTTTCCGGCAAATTGTGAGAATTGTCTCGTTCTAACCAAGTAATTATCAAAACTAGAATTTTGAGGCAATTGCAAGGAAACTACCTAGGTACAATTTTATGGTATTTCGAATCACATATGGTAATTATAATTATAAAAAGTAAGAACTCTAAAGATGATTTTGAGTAGGGGTGATCGGTTCCAGGGTGGGTTGGGTCTAGACTTGAAACCTGAAACCAACCCTGTTATAACTGGTTCCTAATTTTTGGAACCCGAAATCTACCCTGCTTTTCCTAGACCCTTTTGGAACCGATCCTGCTTTTTCCGGTGCGGTTTCGTGGTCTACCCGAGAACCTATTTTTTTGTTCCTTTTTCTAGTTTCATTTTTTTTCCAGCAAAATAATATAGGTAGTAATGAAACGATCCAAAGTAAAAGATCTACTGGATCGGTGAGCCAAAAAGGTGGAAAAAACACACGCACGATACGGACGCCGAGATGACCGAACCCTAGCCCTCTTCAACATGCAAGCAAAGGACGAGGCGGGTTGCGTTCTTACTGACCGAGGAGGCGCTTGCGAAGAGAGAAACCGTGAGAGACAGAGGAGGTCGCGAAGAGAGGAGAGAAACGGTGAGAGACAGACTGGGTAGCCGGGTAGGGTGGTCCGGTTTCCAGATAAATCCGGTCTGGTTGCACACCCCTAATTTTGAGGAAACTGCAAAAACCTTCCATATATGAACATTATTTAAGATCGCATCGTAAAAAGCGTATATATTTTCTAGTCCTGGTCTTTCTCAGATCGCGACGTTCTCCTCGTCGCAATCAAAATAACAATCGTTCCATAAAAACATATATATCGTCCTCTCCTAAGCCGTTCTGTAAAAGCACACCCACCAACTTCACGAGCACGTCAGGCGTGGCCAACACTCACGATCGCAGCTTGGAAGTCACCGTCATCTCCGGCGAAGACCTCCGCATCAGCGACAGGCCCATCAAGAACAAAGCCTTCGTCACCGTCAAGGCCGACTCTCGCGGCTCGCCGTCATTGCACGACTCAACGAAGCCCGACGCATGGATAGGTACTGACAAACTCATTCTTGCTGTGTGTTACCATTATGCTTTTGCATGACCCGGTGGGGGTGATAACGTTATGAAAAAGCAAATGCTTATTAGACGTGGCAAAAGCTAATCTACCTCGCGAAAATGTTCTGCTTACACAACTGTTTTGATTCGAAATCAACCATTTACAACTTGAATGCATTTAAAATGACCATAGCAAAATCCTTGATCGTACGGAATTTGGAATTAAGGGTGCGTTCATTTCACGAAAAATGAGTGATTTGGAAAATATTTCCCGAAAAATAATTGCTTATATTGTTTAGAAAAATTAGTCAACATAAAATATTTTCATTATCGATAACAATTTATGTTTAATTATTTTGGTGGGCAGTGAAAAAATTTTCCATTTTTTTTTATTTTTGTAAGCGATACAAACGATTATTTTTCGGAAAATCTTTTCCAAATCACCAATTTTCTGCGAAACGAACACACCCTAAATCACTTGGAGCAACCTGGAGAAGCATAATATGAGAGAGAGAGAGAGAGAGAGAGAGAGAGAGAGAGAGAGAGAGAGAGAGAGGATTTAAAGAAACAAGAAGATCAGGCATGGTTTTGATGAATTAAAAAGAATAAAAATTTATTTATTGCATGAATAGAAAAGATTGTGCTCTGATATTGTAAAATATAAAAAAAATTTGAGGGGAGATGTGTCGTTAAAGGAAAATTCCTCGATGATGTTGAAATCGCTAAATGATTATGTAAGTATCACTCCGTAAAAATTTACCAATTTTTTGATTAATTTAGCCTGGCAATATCTTTATTGCCTATTCAGGTGAAGCGCCTCGCACGGATTTATAAATTTGCCTTATTTTATTTTTATGTCGATCGTCTAATATTGTCATACGACACCATGTCTATAGAAGTGAAATGTAAAGTCTTACACATATAGTACCAATTGTGGCAACCAATACCCGATCAATTCAGCTCCAATTCTCGATAGTTTTCCCCATCAGATATGGAGAATAGCATACTAAAAGAAATAATTAAAAAAAATTAAACATGAAAAAAATTACCAAATAAGAAATTAATTACTGAAAAAACTGACAAATCAAGCTATTAGAACACATCTCCTGATATTTCTCTTGTTGCTAAATATTTGAGCTAATTTAACATAAGAGACCACCATGCTTAGGACGATGCATATGATATAAATTCTACTTTTATCAGGGCCTAATTTCAAAAAAAAGCACTAACTTTACCTTGAGTGACACTTCTGGCTCGAACTTTTTTTTGTCTTGTAAATAATCACAAACTTTAACTTAAATCTCAAATTTGGCCCAAATAATTTGAAAATTTCATATCACGAGGCCCAAATTTGAAATTTGCGTAAAAGTTGGTGCTTTTTATTAAGACACAAAAAAAGTTCGGGCCAAAATTGTCACTCAAGGTAAAATTGATGTTTTTTTTTTTGGAATTAGCCCCTCTTATAAGCCCTAAAAGATCTAAAAATACTCAAAAAAATTTGAAAAAATTCAGAACCATCAATATCGGTAATAACAAGACATTGTCCAACACTGTACACTTTGATTATTGAAGGAACTTGAATGAGTTTTCGGTTTGGGGAGTTTGTTAAATTCCATTTAGAACCATCTTAGGCCTAATCCAAAGGCCTTAATTTTTCCTTATTGTTTAGGTCCAACTTCCAAGATACGCGCCCAAGGAAAAGCTGAAAGAGCCCATTCTTCTCGATTACGGCAACCAAAGAAATGGAGTGGCATATGAATTCTTTCCTCTTTTTTTTTTTTTACTTTTTAAATTTTAACAGTTATTTATTTAAAAACCGGTTTAGGGACAAGTTAAGCGTAATCGATCT